CGCACGCATAAGGAAATTATTCAAGAGATATTTATCATTTCCTTGAACGGAAGTTACGTGAATCTCTTTTGGTTCACAGTTGGCTGAGTTTATGACGCGACGCGTTCTGGGACTGCATACGTACATAATTAAGGAATGATGTTCCCACCATAGCAATGACGAACAAATAAGAAAATTAGTTAACATTTCTTGGAAGGGAAAAATGCACTTTTCATCCTCAAAGTTTACGGGGTTGACCAATTTCATCCTCAATGTTTAACCCCAAACAAATTTCATCCTCAAAGTTCCGTAATTTTGACCAATTAAGGACAATTGACGGGAATTGGAGGACAAATCAAATATTGGGACGGAACTTTGCACGTGAGAAGCACAATTCGTCAGATCCAACTTTATACCCAACATAACCGGGTCAAACCGAATGGATCCACTTTTTCTAACGGACAAAAAACACAAAATAGCACAAGGAAAAAAGCTCCTGTCTTCTCCTTCTTTCTTCTCCGTTCTCAGCCCTAAAAATTTTTTTTGCCAATCGTTTCATCCATTTTTCGAGCATCTGCTGGCAAGAAGGAAGGCATAGACGGCATCCGTGGAACATTTTAGGTGAAGAAAAAAATGGCATTGCGGAAGAAAGAGCTCCACATTTGTCCACCTCCAAATTACGGTATTTATACCCAAAATCAACAACTACATTGCATAAAGATATCTGTTTTTTTGGAGAAGGAAACCTGATATGTGGTCCCTTGTGTTTGTACTTTTTCCCCACTACAATTTACGGCTATTTTTTTTCCAGATCTGGCCATTTGCATGAGGTATAAATAAATCCAAAAATTTGTCTTGGTTTGATTATTATAGTGTGAATGTGGTCCCTTATGTCTGATGATAGTTGCCGCTTGACTATAAATTTGTGATGAGAGTGATTAATAAACAATAACACTTGGTATATTTTGCCGGCCATGTGTATCTGACCATGTGTATGGAAAAAGTGCAAGTGGTCCTTGTTTGGTAGTTTTTGTGTGGGTCAACAGTTTGTTGTGCTGAAATGATGAAGCTTTTTTTTTTCCTAAAGAGTCTGATCTATATTATTTTCTTTAACCAGAAACGGGCAGCACATTTATTACATTAAGATGTCACCATGGAGGCCTCATTTCATATACTCCTGATCCCCATTACGAAGGTGGAGATTTGTGTGTTTTTGACTATGTTGAGAGTATAGGTCTAAGTGTTTTCGAAGTGGATAGATTAACTGAGAGTGCTGGTCTATATGGTCATAAGGTGTACTATGGTTGGGAAAATAACACCTTTAGGAGGATAGAAAGCAGTAGGGAGTTGAATGGTTATGTTAAGGGGGAGGTTGGGCCAACTAAGGAAGTTAACTTATATCTTGAAGTATCTTTTCATGAAATTCTAGTGCAACAACTTGGTTATGATCCGTATGAGGTAGATGAGACAGAAAATGAACTCCAAAATGGTGATGGTAACAATAATATTAGGGATGAAGGGCAAGGAAGGTGTGCTGCTAATAATTGTGATAATGATTCCAACGCAAGTGATGAGACTTTTTTTTCAGCTATTGATTCAGATTATGAAATAGGCGATGATGCTGATGATGGTATATTTCATGATAATGTTGACAAAAATGCTGAATGGTTGGGAGTAGACAATCACAGGAAAGAAAATGTGGTTCCTGATCCTTTGAATGAAACAGAGAAGGTTCCTGATTCTGATGAAACAGAACAGGTTCCTGATTCTGAATCTGATTTTGAAAGCATTCATGAGTCTGATGATGAAGAGTCTAAATTGAGGTCTCGTACTTTTGATCCTAAGCATATTGACAATCCAAAATTAGAGCTGTACATGTCCTTTACAAGTCTGAAACTTTTCAAGACTGCTGTACATAATTATAGTGTGAAACAAGGCAGGCCTTGTAAGTTTGTGAAACAAGATAGAGTGAGGGTGAGGGCTAGATGCAGAAATAGTGAATGTAATTGGGTTATATATGCTAGAAAATTAAGTGGGGATGGAACTATTCAAATAAGAACATTTGAAGATAATCACACATGTGGTTTTACATATGATAACCCTCTTGTGCATTCTGGATGGGTAGCTAAGAAGTACTGTGAAGAGTTTAGGTGTAATCCTAAATTAGATTTGGAGCATTTTAGGAAGACAGTAATGAAAGAAAATATGTGCTCCTTCACAAAAAATCAAACATATAGGACAAGGAGAAAAGCAATGAAAATTGTTCAGGGCAGTGAAAAAGACCAGTACAGCAAATTAGGAGTTTATATGCATGAAATTCTAAGATCCAACCCTGGTAGTACTGTTATAATGAAAACTGTTGATGGTTTTAGAGACTCAAAAACAGGGAAAGGCAGATTTGAGAGGCTGTACATCTGTTTTGCTGGAGTGAAGCATGGTTTCCTAACTGGATGTAGGCAGTTTATTGGAGTAGATGGTACTTTTTTGAAAGGATCAGTAGGAGGAGTTTTGCTAGCAATTGTTGGAGCTGATGCCAATAATGGCATTTTTCCAATAGCATATGCTGCAGCAGAGGGTGAAAGTAAGGACTCATGGTGCTGGTTCTTCAAACTATTGAAAGAAGATTTGAAGATTGAAAAGGATTATGAGTGGACAATAATGAGTGACAAACAAAAAGGTCTAATTGAAGCACGTGATATGATTTTTCCAAATGCAGCCCACAGATTTTGTGTGAAACACTTGCACAATAACTTTTCATCTGCTGGGTTCAAAGGAGAAGGTTTGAGGAGAGCGTTATGGACTGTTGTCAAAGCAACAACACCAGCCCAATTCAATAGCAGAATGGAAGCAATGGCTGAAATTGATATAGAGGCAGCCAAGTGGTTTGATGACAAACCACCAAGTCAATGGAGCAGAGCTTATTTTAGCACTCATCCTAAATGTGCTATGTTATTGAATAACATCTGTGAGTGCTTCAACAGTAAAATTCTTGATGCTAGGGAGAAGCCAATAATTGAGATGTTTGAAGCAATACGGTTGTACATGATGCAGAGAATGCAAAAAAATAGGGATCTGGCCAAAGAGAAGTGGCAGAGAGCAACCAAGGAATCTTCTTCCCGGATTCTCGCCGCGCCAACAGGTGTTCATTTTTGTTCTTAACCCACAGTTGCAGAATGGAGTCGATGAACCACTGGAGACTTCAGAACTTCTGCTCCTCATTTAGGCAAAAATGAGAGCACAGGGAGCTCCACTGCCAGATGCTCTGAGGATGAAATGTTTAAAGCTGCAAAGATTGGCAAAAAAATTTTGGAGTTCAAAGGCAGAGGGAAAAAGGACAACAATGGAGCTTTTCATCCGTCCGTTGCATTTGTTCCTTTAAAGTTAGCTCCATTCGGTTTTACCCATTTTTTGTTGGGTAAAACCGTTGGTTGTAACGGTCAATTGGATATTTCCCGTCAATTGTCCTTAATTGGTCAAAATTACGGAACTTTGAGGATGAAATGTGTTTGGAGTTAAACATTGAGGATGAAATTGGTCAACCCCGCAAACTTTGAGGATGAAAAGTGCATTTTTCCCTTTCTTGGAAAGTCCTGCACCATTCCCCTTTAGACCACAGTAATCATAATCATCAAATTCTATTCCTTCTATGAAAATAAAAAAGTCCATATCATTCGATCTAGTTTCCTCTCCGCGGTTAAGAGTAAAATTAGCGAGTTTGGATGTATGGGAAATAATCTCCTTTGAAATTGCATGTGTTATATTAGCAATTAATTGATTGCCCTTATGAGTGTTTTGAGAAGGGAGATAATTAAAACTAAAAAGTTCCACAGCACGCATACTATTGATTAGACATTCAAAATTGGAAATTGCCCGAATGGCGACAGAGTCAAGAAGGGATAGAAAGAAATCGACTATCTTTCTTTTGCTGGGGCAGATAAACCAAAGAAAAAAGGGGTTTTATTTCAATTCTAAAAGCTCAGCGAAGAGGAGTCTCCAGGTCTATTGGTGACTTGGTGTATTTGTATCCAGTCAAAACAATTCTTGACTGTATGGACATTATCTTTGTGCCATTAGTTAACTAGCTCAGTTAAAACTTAGAAGAACTTATGGAATTTTAGTGGCACCGACAATTTTTTTCTTTTTTTTTTTGAGGGAAAATGTAAGATTCTGTAAGATAAATCCACAGCTAAAACAGGGATCACATCATATATAGGGGAAAATATCTCAACAAACCGAGATTGTTTGGAAATTTTATGTTAAAAAACACTATAGCATTTTTAATAATGGGATATATGTGAAATAAAAGTGTGGTTGAAAAATGTGTTCATGGATAAATAATATATTTTTTAATAAAAAATTTTCCCAAATCATGCTATTCAAACAGAGCAAGATCAGCAATAGAAAGGGCCAAAAGGAGGAGGAGCATTGCCCTCACGCTTGATACGCACAAGGACCGGAAGAGAACAAATTCAAGAACGATCATTCTGACTTTATGAACCAACTTTTCAATCATGGAATGATCCTTTGCCAATACAAAGTTAGTTCAATTGATAAGTATGGGTTAATTTTTTTTTACAAAAAATCATATATTTAAATTCTGTTATAGATTTAAGGATTGTGTTGGTAAAAAATTCTTGTAACAGACGTATATTTTTAGGAGCACGTCCTGACCAAATCAAGAGAGTCTCCTTAAATGGCATTAGATACATGTACCCTCCTCGTAAGTAAGGTCCACATAACGAACCAATAAGAAAATGCATTTAAGATGACCAACAAATCAAAAAATGTTATAAATGTATATATGTGCATTAATTCCATACATACGTCTGATAATCGGCAATACCCAGAATGGAATAGAGGTTTTTAAAGTAACTAGTAATTCATTATATTTATCTAAATCCAGTACTGATGATGCATGAATGAACAACATCCGTGTCCCTTCTCCAACAACAGAGACATGATTCTACCAAGAACTTGTCTTGCCAAGTTATATATTTTGCCAAACAATAAAGGAAAAAGACTAATTCTTGAACCCTTTATGAAATCTTCTTTGCAGTATAAGTAAGTGTCCAAATGAGATTCTCTTTCAACGATTTCGTCCACCAATTCTTCTCCTTCTAATACTGTCTGAGGCAGAAAGGCCAGCTTCAATTATAATGGCAAAAACCACAGTGCATTGTTATGTGTGGTTGATAGTGGCTACAGCTTTGATTGTGAGGCCTTCCAAGGCATTTGATTGCATTGGCGCCCAGCAAGAACTGATTCCATGCCTAAGTTACTTGCAAGCTGCTGATCCCACACCCAGTATTGAATGTTGTTCTGGTGCTCAAGATGTGGCCAATTCGGCTAATTCGTCTAAAGACGATTTGCAATCCGCTTGCCAATGCTTGAAATCTGCTGCGCAAACGTATCCCGACATAAATTATGATAATGCTAAGCAACTCCCCGCCCTCTGCAACGTCAACCTCAATATTACCATTGATCCTAACATTGACTGCACCAAGTAAGTTTACTTCTTTCGCCCAGAAATTGAATTTCAATTTCACTACTTTATTTTTATTTGTGTTTGACGTCCCTTTAATATTATCTATTATATGCATGTCATTCCTCTTCTTCTGTTTCTGGACTTTAATTTCTTCAAAAGGAAAAAAAAAGAAAGAAGAAAGGGACTACGACTCTATGTTAAGAGTATGATTGATTGATTTTTGCTACTATTTCTTGGTCCTTAGAACCATCTAGGTCAAGTTTAGCTGCTATTTAACACTACTGATTCCAATTGAACGTGACTTTCATGTTGTCTATACATGGCCGCACCAAAGAGCAATAATATGAAATTTCTTTAGTTTGAATGCTGTTCTGATCAAGGGCCAGGTCCTTTTGTTTGTTACCAAAAAAAAAAAAAAGAAAAAAGAATGCTGTTCTGATCAAGAAATCTTACTTCTGTATCTGCACAAGTTAATTTTTCCGAAAGATGTTCGATCATTCTTTACCTTTGAATTTTGATCACGTGCAGGCTCTAAGTGACATCGGAGATTCTTGAAGAGAAAAATGCCAAAATTTTCAGTTTTGGTGGAGATATCAGCATGCATGCAGTGTAGCCTCGTACAAATTTGTAGTTTGAATGTACCTCTCTTGAATTTTTTTTTTTTTTAGTATGGGAACTTCAGATTCCAATACTTGAAGAGAAGAAAGGCAAATTAACTGTCTCCTTGTATCCTTCTTTCTTGCATGTTGCTACCCGTCTTTATTAATATCTTGGCTTCTATGAAAGAACAGATGTTTCTTTTTCATGTTTCGGAATGGAGCTTCACCTATGGATTGATATTTCGGTCGCGTTCATGTTTTACTTACTCAACATAAATATTTGCTGTCATTTGTTTCTGGAGAGAATTGCAGTTTTCATCAATAATATTTGGTCTGTGGTGTGTCAGTCAGTTTTGATCAATAATATTTGGCCAATACTCAATACCAAATTGCTATTAGTCAACACTTTTGAATTTACGCTTTTAGTCCCTAATATTTTGATTTTGAATCATTATATCTCTTAAATTTTAAATAACGACATTAAGGGTTTTAAAATGAAATGAGACGTGAATTCAAATAAAATTATATTAAATGGATCATAGAAATTCTAATTAATTCTGTTCAAAAGGGTATAGCAGTATGGACCATCATTAAGTTAAAAATTTGACTTCAAACATTATACTCGGTCATTTCCATATTCATTGAAGAAATGAAAAGTTGGCTTCAATCAATGGCCGAGTCAAAATTTTAGGTTGGGAGGATGGGAGATTTATATGCATAGTAAAATGTCAATTCACGAACGTAATTTTGGAAACTAAGACTTTTTTATATCTTAATGAATACAGAAATGACAATGGCCTGCACCGTTGCTTATATAAAAAATTTAGTTTCCATACGGTTTTGGTTTGCTTTGGCATTTGTTGAATCAATTTAATTTCAAGAAATTCCTTACCTACCATCTAACAAAGTGATACTCGTATCATTTGTAACAGGGTGTTCTTTGTCCCACAAATTTTCAATTTCAGTATTTGACATCAAGGCCACAGTGGACAAGGTTGGCCTGTCTTCAGGGTGCAGCTGCACGCACAAGAGGCCTACTTGTATTCTACATCTGATGCCGGAAAGAATTCTTCCATTAGATCATCTATCAGTTGATAGGCAGTCCTTTCATTCCGGAGTTTCCACGCCTGATAGTTTATGCCGATCGTGTAATTGAGAACCAATATGCACCATTTTATTCGTAAAATGTCCCAGTATGTTAAGATTGTGGTCAGGATGGCAAAAATCTGTATACAAATCAGGAACTTTGCGCTGCATTTTGCAACTAATCAAGCCATGAAATCTGTATATAAATCAATTAGATATTGATTTATCTGGTTCTCCTGAGGTAGTAGTGAGAAACTGAGAATCGCATCATGGCTGTGATTAGTCATTACTTGTTAATGTGGAAGCTCAAACATTTCAGAATTGAATTGCTATACAGAGCTGCTATACAACTTTACTAGATCCTTATTGACAGGATCAAAATTTGTTGAACCAATTTCAGTGCCAAAAATTTTCTCTACCTACCCTCCGATAGAGTTATAGTCATGTCATTTGTAGCAGGGTGTTGTTGTTGTTGTTTGTCCATTGAATCTTCTGTTTCATTTGCAGTCCTCTCCGAATAGAAACCTGGCCGCTTAGGCTGGGGAAGTAGAGCAGTCTCACTATTTAACATGGACAGTGCAATGGACATGGTTGGCCTGTCCTCAGGGTGCTGCTGCCCGCACAGGAGGCCAACTTGTATGCATCTCTCCACCTCTGATACCGAGAAAGATTCTTCCATTACCTCATCTATCAGTTGACAGGCATTCCCTTCACTCCAGAGTTTCCATGCCTGAGATTGTAGACAAAATTTGATGGAGGAAACTTCATGTGTAAAGCATTTTAAGGATGAAACACCAAATCCTGTTTACTTACGTGACCAAGTAAGTTATGGTTGTGCTCTGGATGGTGAAAGTCTCTGTTCTTTCTGCCGCTCACAATTTCAAGGACTAGCACTCCAAAGCTAAACACGTCGGATTTTGTTGAATATAGCCCTTTTGTGACGTACTCAGGAGACATGTAGCCACTGCAGATCATCGTATGTCAGTTTCTATGAGAGAAAAACAGTTACCTGCTGGGGAGAAAAAATATGAAATCTGGAAATAGTAAACTTTTAAGTCCCTTACTAAGTGCCAATAACCCTTGTTGTTTTTTCCGGACTCTGATCGCCTCCGAAAGCTCTAGCAATGCCGAAATCTGAAATTTTAGGACTCATCTCTCTGTCTAGGAGGATATTGCTAGCTTTTAAATCCCTATGGATTATTCTCAATCTTGAATCTCGATGCAGGTAAATGAGCCCTCTAGCAATCCCAGTTATAATGTCAAAACGGCATGTCCATGTTAGCAACTTTCTTCTCGTGCTATCTGCAAGAGCTTATAATCAAGTAAGAAAACCAAATTTCTCATGACAAGATAGAAATCAATTGAACAAGATTTTTGTTGAGTGGCACCGTATATGTAGATGTCCAGGCTTTTACTGGGCATATACTCATAAATTAGCATCCTCTCTTCTCCTTGAATGCAGCATCCCAAAAGTTTAACCAGGTTGCGATGTTGAAGTTTGGAGATCACGATGACTTCATTTTTAAATTCAGCAAGTCCTTGATTGGAATCTATCGAAAGCCTCTTTACTGCAATCTCTTGTCCTGTTGGCAGCTGACCCTGGAAATGCGCAAATTTGCAGAATACCAATATAACAGAAGAAATTTGAAGTACATAGTCTAATTTGTAAGATTGCACATCATAAATGGATTACTACTACTTGAAAATACCTTATAAACTGGTCCGAAACCACCTACTCCAATCTTGTTTGAGTTAGAAAAGTTGTTGGTTGCCTTTGCAATGGTCATCATCTCAAAAGTCGGTAATGATAGGTCTTCCATTACTCCAGAATGAAGCTGTGGTTTTAGCCCTGCACTCAGAACATGTCTAACATTATAACCAAACTTGAACTCAAATTTATTTCCAAAGACGAAAATAAAGTCTCAAAGATGATCTGTCCGCCTGGTCGCTTGAAGGTCTTAAAACTTTAATTATGAAGTCCCTAATTGACCTGGTAGAGAAGTGTAGGAATAAGAAAAAGCTATACAAACTCCCTCCATAAGAGTAATCCAGGAGCCGTACACGATCAAACTCCAAACAAACCCGATTCAAAACGAATCTTATCGCATAGTCAAGGAACATGGCAGAGCCAACAAATACAAAGTGTTTAATTTTGTAAATATTGATAGAAGTTTGCTATAAACATTGATAAAAGTTTGATAATAACAATCCTGCTCGATTATAGGCTACAACAAAATTTGCAGAAGGCTCTGACTATGGTCCGCATAGCGATCCGCTGCTGGCAGCCAGTGTCAGTTACGGATCCACCTGCAGACCTTCAATGTCAAGCTGGCCTAGATTCTTTCTTTCTCCATACCTTGCTAGCACAGTTATGATTACAACAAAAATAAATGTAAATACTAACAAAAATTATAGAAACTACCTTAATTAAAATCCTAAATGAATTCTCGAGTATAGATGAGAGATTCCTGAATTATCTCACTAGAACAAGATTCAAGATGCCTAGACTTAAATGAGACAGATGTAAAAAATATAGCTTTTCTTGATAAAAGGATGCATTTTGTCTTCTGTTATGTCCTCATCCCATCTTTTCTAACGTAAACCATTTACTGCACCATCATTTCTCCGCGAGCATATTTCTATGATTGTCTCCCTCAAATTACTTAGCACCCCAAATGTCTGGCATCAGCGGGATGAGCAGAGTTATAATACGAATCTATTTCTACATTATTAGACCAGTTGGAGAAGTAGCAGGCAATAGGAGGGCCTTACTGTTTTCTCGGCGTATTCAAGATATGAGCTCTTGATCAGAAGATACATGTTTTACTTAAGGCAGTTGTCATCAGCAAATAATAAGTTGAGAACAAAAGAAAAAAGCATCGACTGTTTCTCCTTTTTTCGGATGAAATAGTTAATTGCTCATTACTTTGCATGAGTTCTGTGTCTTCTGCAGTAACAGTAAAACAATGCGGCAAGTGTTTTCATCAATGTTAAGCAAGTATTTGCTAACAAGCGATATTTTGTTAGAACACATTCTTGAAATGAAAATCGATCTCGAGTTTCTGAATTTACCTCGTCTCCGTGATCTCTTGAACAGGATGAACCAAAAAGTCAAAACTAGCAAGGCCAGAACAACTGAACAAGGCACCACGACTAGAATGGTCTTTTTTCTTTCGTTAGAGCCTGTTGTGAGCTTTATAAAGTCAATAACTGTCAAAAAATAGAGGTGCAAGAAAAAAACAGATTATTAAGAAATAATGGAGTAATAAAGAATTTCAAGATACCTAGATCCGCAGCTTCTACACGAATATAAATATTTTGATTGCTTGGGGTAGCTAATCGCCTTATATCAATCAAATCCCCATACCAGAAGAAGCAACCACTTCCCCTCCCTGAAACGTTTGAATTGGCATATGCAGTACAAGTGCAATTCTTCAAACACTCCTCTTCACATTCCTTGAGAGTTGCACTGCTGTCCATCCAATCCAGCCAGTGATCGGGAACCTTTACTCCCTTTACCTCCATAAAACCTTCTCCCTTCGAACAATTTAGAGGTTGTTTCCTAAGGCATCCATTGGACCGTAGGCCAATTTCCCAATCCTGAGGTGACTTAGGCACGTAGCCAGTCAAGCAGCTGCAGCGAAAAGGATCATTTATGGTGCAAATACTGTTGGTACCACAATAGCCATAATTATCACAAGAGTCAATAGGAATACTATAGATGACTATCCATTCTAGGCTGCTGCTGCTGTTCCATAAATAGCTATAGATTTCCCCAGAGTAGCTGACCACAATCCTTGCGAGAAGTGGACTACTTTCAGGAACCTCATAGTAAACCTCGTTTGTGTTGACAAAGATTGTTGGGTTGAAGACTGCAGGTATTGGCGGTGGTATGGAAATAACTCCACTAAAGCCAACAC